GTCGTAAAATTTCACGTCTCGCGTCACGTTTATGTAACTGATGTCAAACTCGGTATTCTTCCAGATATCGTTCAAAAGACCCGGATTTGTCCGATCTATTCATGTAAACAAAGAATATTTAAAAAAACAATTAATTAAAACAATATGATATGAAACATGATAACTTAACATCAAATTGTAATTTTGTAATAGATGTTTGAATAAAATTGTAAATCATTAGTTGTTTTACACTATAATTCTATAAAAACCATGAGAAAAGTGTTGTCAACTCACTCATAGGGAATACATCCATAATGTATCCATCGTGAGTCCACGAACCAAACTTTATGAAACAAATGTGTTCATCGAATGGCCATCTCTTGAGGTTCACCCGACACATGGCCTTTAGAGTCATGGGCGGCACCCATAAGACATTACCATTTCTATAGACAATGGCATTGGTGTTGATAATCCTGGGACTGCCGTAATCGACGCTATTATAGCTCATTAAATCGGGTAAATATAACTGAGTCGACGGTATCCTTATATTAGGAATATGTCGGAGCGCTGTTGTGTCCCACGCGAGGCTCCCGTCGTGCCTAACAGTCATTTAACAATATATTTATGTTAATCTTTCAGTCAAACAAAGTTTTATTATTGCAAACAACGGTAAGATAAACAGCAAATGCATTCATACCACGATGAAAATAGCCAGCCCTCGGTGGTCAGTATTTGACTCCTTATATCCTATTAAATGTAGTCAATGATATCTGATGTAACACAAAGAGACAGGCATTTAATACTTACAAAATTAGTGATATGAATGAGATTGTAATCAATAGACACTCGGAATATATCATTCTTAGGTATGGGTCGAGCGAATCGGTCGTAATCTCGGGACACAAATAGTAGTTTTCGTAGTTCTTTCAAATCGGCTACAAATATAATGAATGTATTATCAGTTTGTCTTCGTATGGGTTATCTATTATCACTCACCAGTTGTGACATTATTAGAGTATTCATTATATGCAGTGATTAGTGAAATGTTGAGCACAACTATCACTATTAGTGCTCTCATAATGAGAAATATTGGTATGAATTATGAATTCTTGAAGTTTTTGTCTTTGTTTTAATAAGAAATAATTTACATGAGGTTTGCGACGAGTGAAACACTGACACGAAATAACATTTAATTTGAAACCAAACCAACAAATTAAGTCTAAATTGATGGCAAAGTCCTTCAAAATCAATTTCGTTCACACAATACGATTGGCCTAAATGTTAGACTCAATTGGTATTTATTAACTATAATTAATATTAATATATCCGCACTATTAGTGCAAATGTTTTTCCACAATAGCAAGTATTTTAAGTTGTGTTTTCATAACAATTATAATAATGTTTAACAATTTAATGATGGCTTAAGTATTAATCAAAAGGTATATAAATTGTCTGTCAGACAAAAGTGTAGTCAAATTTAATGTAACATAAGATCAATAATACTGTAATTACTCAATTACTTAACAAAAACAGTTATACTGTATTACACCAAATGATGCAAACTATACAAACTTTATTTGTATTAAATTAAATCCAGACATCAAAATAATCTATGTTTAGATTCTCTCTCTCTCTCTCTCTCTCTCTCTCTCTCTC